TGAACTTCTGACCTCAAGTGATCCCCCCATGTCAGTCTCCCAAAGTGCTGGGATTATAGGCATGAGCCACCACGCCCAGCCTTAAATTTTTTTGTAGAGACAAGGTCTCATTATATTGCCCAGGCTGGTTGAGACCCTGCTTTATTTATTTATTTTTTTTAATTTTGTCTATTTATTTATTTATTTATTTATTTATTTATTTATTTATTTATTTTGAGACCAGGTTATGAGACTGGCTAAGTTTTGTATTTTTGGTAGAGATGGGTTTTGCCATGTTTCCCAGGCTGGTCTCCAACTCCTGGGCTCAAGTGATCCACTTGCCTCGGCCTTCCAAAGTCCTGGGATTACAGGCATAAGCCACTGCATCCATCCGGGACCCACATTTCTTTAAAAAAAAAAAAGGAGGGGGGGAATTTAAATTTAAAAGTATGTTCCCTAACCACAATGGAGTGAAATCAGACATCAGTAACAGGAAATCTGGAATATTCACAAACGTGTGGAAATTAAACAAAAATACTCCTAAATAACCAATAAGTTACCAGCCACAGCGGCCAGGCTGGTCTTGAACTCCTGACCTCAGATGATCCACCCACTTCGACCTCCCAAAGTGCTGGGATTACAGGCATGAGCCACAGCGCCTGGACTAAAAATAAAATTAAAGGCCAGGTGCAGTGGCTCATGCCTGTAATCCTAGCACTTTGGGAGGCTGAGGCAGGTAGATCATGAGGTCAGGAGATTGAGACCTCGATGGCTAACATGGTGAAACCCTGTCTCTACTAAAAATAAAAAAAAAAATTAGCTGGACTTGGTGGCGGGTGCCTGTAGTCCCAGCTACTTGGGAGGCTGAGGCAGAAGAACGGTGTGAACCCAGGAGGCGGAGCTTGCAGTGAGCCGAGATCGTGCCACTGCACTCCAGCCTGGGCGACAGAGCAAGACTCCGTCTCAAAATAAATAAATAGATTAATTAATTAATTAAAGAAAAATTCCAATTATGATAGCATCAAAAAAGCAAAATATTTAGGAATAAATCTAATGAGTGTAAAACTTGTATACTCTAAACAGGAAACATTGTTGAAAGAAATTAAAGATACGAATAAACAGAAAGGCATCCATGTTCATAAATCAAAAGACAACATTATCAAAATGGCAATACTCCCCAAACTGATCTACAGAGTCAATGCAATCCCTATCAAAATCTCTGCTGGCTTCTTTGCAGAAATTGACAAGCTGACCCTAAAAATTTATGTGGAAATGCAAGGGACCCAGAAGAGCCAAAACAATCTTGAAAAAGAACAAAGTTGCAAAATTCATACCTCCCAACCTCAAAACTTACTACAAAGCTACAGTGATCAAGACAGTGTGGTACTGGCATAAAGATGTATAGATCAATAGAATAGATTTCAGAGTCCAGAAATAAACTGTCATGTTTATGGTTAATAGATTTGCAACAAGAGTGCCAAGACAACTCAAGGGATAAGAAATAATCGTTTTCACAAATGGTGCTGGGTCAAGTGGATACCAACATGTAAAAAAAATGAAGTGAAGCTGGGCACACTGGCTCATGCCTGTAATCCCAGCACTTTGGGAGGCCAAGGCGGGTAGATCATTTGAGATCAGGAATTCGAGACCAGCCTGGCCAACATGGTGAAACCCCGTCTCTACTAAAAATAAAATATTAGCCAGGCGTGGTGGCGGGCACTTGTAATTCTAGCTACTGGGGAGGCTGAGGCATGAGAATAACTTGAACCCAGGAGGCGGAGATCACAGTGAACTGAGATCACATCACTGCACTCCAGACTGGGCAATACAGCAAGACTCAATCTCAAAAAAAAAAAAAAAAAAAGAAAAAGAAAAACAAAACCAAAACACAAAAATGAAGTTATATCCCTACCTCACACCATAAAAATGAACTCGAAGTGGATCAGAGAGCTAAATGTAAGAGTTAAAACTATAAAACTCATAGAATAAATCAAAGGCATAAATCTTCATGCTCTCGGATTAGGCAATGGTTTCTTAGATATAACACCAAAAGTACAAACAACAACTATAGTAACAAAATTGATAAATTGGAATTCATCAAAGTTAAAAATTTTTGTGCTTCAGAAGATGTCATCAGAAAAGTGAGGCCAAGCATGGTGGCTCATGCCTGTAATCCCAGCACTTTGGGAGGCCAAGGCTGGAGGATCACTTGAGGCCAGGAGCTTGAGACCAGCCTGGGCAATATAGTGAGACCTTGTCTCTACAGAAAAAAAAAAATTAGCTGGGTGTGGTGGCATGTGACTGTAGTCCCAGCCACTTAGGAGGCTGAGGTGAGAGGATAGAGAGCTTGAGCCCAGGAGTTGGAGGTTACAGTGACCTATGGTCATGTCACTGCACTGCAGCTTGAGTGACAAAGTGAGACCCTGTGTCTTTAAAAAAAAAAGTAAAAGATAACCCATGTGATGAGAGAACATTTTTGCAAATCATATATCTGAAAAGAGACTTGTATGTAGAATATAAGAAATGAAGAACTCTTACAACTCAATAAAAAGAAATATAATTCAATTAAAAATTGACAAAGGATCTGAATATACATTTGTCAAAAGAATATATACAAATGGCCAATAAGCACATAAAAAGATACACAACATAGGCTGGGCATGGTGGCTCACACCTGTAATCCCAGCACTTTGGGAGGCCAAGGCAGGTGGATCACCTGAGGTCAGGAGTTTGAGACCAGCCTAGCCAACATGGTGAAACCCCATTTCTACTAAAAATACAAAAATTAGCCAGGCGTGATGGTGCATGCCTATAATTCCAGCTATTCAGGAGGATGAGGCAGGAGAATCACTTGAACTTGGGGGCTGGAGGTTGCAATGAGCTGAGATTGCACCACTTCACTCCAGCCTGGGCGAAAAGAGTAAAGCTCCATCTCAAAAAAAAAAAAAAAAAAGATACACAACATAATTAGACAGTGGGAAATACAAATCAAAACCACAATGAGATACCACTTTACACCCACTAGGAAGGCTATAATCAAAATGACACATAATAGCAATTGTTGGCAAGGATATGGAGAAACTGGAAGCCTCATACACTGCTAGTGGAAATGTAAATGGTGCAGCCACTTTGTAAACAGCTGGAAGTTCTTCAAAAGGCTAAGCATGGAATTAACATAAAAACCACCAATTCCACTCTTAGCTATATACTCTAGAGAAATGAAGACATATGTTCACACAAAAACTTGTAGATGAATGTTCATGGCAGCATTATTCATAATAGCCAAACGTGGAAACAACACATATATCCATCAACTGATGGCTGGATAAACAAAATGTAGTATATCTACACAATGGAATATTACTTAGCCATTAAAAATGCACTACTGATACAAGCTTGAAAACATGCTAAATGAAAGAAGCTAGGCACAAAGGACACATATTGTATTATTCCATTCATATGAAATGTCAGAATAGGCAAATCCATAGAGACAGAAAGTCTATTAGTGGTTGCCAGGGGTTGAGAAATGGAGGAAATAGGGAGTGACTGCTAATGGGTATGGAGTTTCTTCCGGAGAAAATGAAAATGATCTGAAGTTAGATAGCAGCGATGGTTGCACAACTTTGATTTGAACATTTTAAAAGGGTGATCTGCTGGGCGCGTTAGCTCACACCTCTGATCCCAGCACTTTGTGAGACTGAGATGGGTGGATCCCTTGAGCCCAGGGGTTCAAGACCAGCCTGGGCAACATGGCGAAACCCTATCTTTACTAAAAATACAAAAAATTAGCCAGCGTGGTGGCACACACCTATAATCCCAGCTATCTGGGAGGTTGAGGTGGGAAAATCACCTGAGGGGGAAGTTGAGGCTGCAGATAGTGCCATGTGCTCCAGCCTGGATGACTTGAGTGAGACCCTGTCTCAAAAAAAGAAAAAAAGGGTGAATATATGCTAGTGTAGGTCAATAGGGTGATGGATAATCATGTCTGTAACTTAGTCTCAAATGGTTCAGGGAAAAAGTTCTTTTCTTGCAACTTGTCTGTAAATTTGAATTATTTCAAATGAAAAGAAAAATGCCATTGAATGACAATGATGTTATAGGGGTAACTTTTATTCTACTCCACTCAGAGTGCTTTAAAAAAAGTAACTCCTTCATAAACTTCAAATAATATTTAATGTGAAGTCTGACTCGAAAAAATGAGTTCACAACCTATAACATCCCATACTGTTGTTCTTCATAATAAAAGGCAGAATGGCACAAATAACATGTGCTTTGGAGTCAGACAGAATGTGTTCCTTTCTAGCTTTGTGACTGAGAAAATTAATCGACTTTTAGGAGGCTCAGTTTTCTCATCCAGAAAATGGGAATAACTAATTGATTGCTCTGTTCCGTATAGGCTAAGTAATGACTTCTATGCTCCCAAGCTTGGACCTGTACTCAACATTGTTTATTATATAATATGATGTTCTACTTTCTAGGATAGATAACTCATTTATTTTTCATACCCCATTTCCTACTTAGTAGCTACATTATTGCTTACCACTATTCTTCATGATTGGTTTGGAGAAGAGGTAAATTTTATTACTTATTAATATTGTTAATAAAAGATTTGGTAGCGAAGGATATCAGCAAAATTTGGAAGTTATGTAGTCAGAACTCAATTGTCTATTGCCATTATCACAAGCTGATTATGTACTTAAGTATAGTAAACAAGTGTAGCCAATTCTAATCTAGTTTAATCACCTCTCCTCAGACACTATCAGAAAATGAGTAATGAATAAAATAATTTATTCAATGTTGATAAGTGGAGAAATGGGGACCTTTGTGCACTGTTGGTAAGAATGTAAGATAGTACAGTTGCTATGGAAAACTGTATGGCGGTTCCTCAAAAAATTAAAAATAGAATTACCATATGATCTGGCAATTCCACTTCTGGATATATACCCCAAAGAATTCCAGACTATCTCTAAAGCATGGAAGATAAAAGTGCCAACTTAGTTGGAAACATACTCTGTACTTACCAGTTGTTTGTTGTGCTGTGGCAGAGGACATGGCTGGGCACCAGCTGGCACCTTGTATACTGGAGTTACTGACATACTGGCAGGGTGGGCACATATGAAGCGAACCTGCAAAACCTCTACAGCTGGACTAGGGTTCAGGACACCTGGATGATTTCCAATTCGGAATGTGAGAACCTTTAAGGAAATATCAAAGCAAGAGATAATTGTGGGTAGATACTTGATGCCAATATAAATGTGTTAGAATTATTCAAATTCCAGCATAGAGAGTCCCTTTCACATTATAATCTGGCAAATCCCTTAAAGACATTATAATTCTTAATTATCTGTGCTAAAGGGCATTAATAATATCATGAAACTTTGAAAACAAATGGAACATTAAAAAAATCTAGGTCAGGCACAGTGGCTCATGCCTATAATCCCAGCACTTTGGGAGGATCACTTGAGTCTAGGAGTTCAAGACCATCTTGGGCAACACAGTAAGACCCCATCTCTACAAAAAATCTAAAAATTAGCGAGGCATGGTGGTGCACGCCTGTAGTCCCAGCTACTTGAGAGACTGAGGCAGGAGGATTCCTTGAACCCGGGAGGTCAAGGCTACAGTGAGCCATGTTCATGCCACTGCACTCCAGTCTGGGCAACACAGTGAGACCCTGTCTAAAAAAAAAAAAAAAATCTAACTTTGACTGGGTATGGTGGTGTGTACCTGTAATCTCAGCTACTTGGAAGTCTGAGTCAGGAGGATTGCTTGCACCTAGGAGTTCAAGACCAGCCTGAGCAACATAGTGAGACCCTGTCTCAGAAAAAAAAAAGAATCTAACTTTGACCAATTACTTCAGTCTTTTCCTCCACCAAATATTTTGTTACAAGTTGATAAAAAGTGAAAAAACTAATTTATGTTTCCACTCATTTCTAGTAGAAGTACTAATGAATAACGGAATGTGGAAACAAAAATAAGTTAGGAAACTTCAAATGGGGGTTAATTAGGCCTGAAATTACTAACAGCTCACTCAACAAACTAGGAAAAGAAGGAAACTTATCTCAACATAATAAAAGCCTTATCACAGCTAACATCATACTCAATAGTAGAAGACAGATTCCAAAAATGGGCAAAGGCCCAGTGCAGTGGCTTGCACCTGTAATCCCAGCACTTTGGGAGGCTGAGGTGGGTGGATCACCTGAGGTCAGGAGTTTAAGACCAGCCTGGCCAATATGGTGAAACCCCATCTCTACTAAAAACACAAAAATTAGCCGGGCATGGTGCCACACGTCTGTAGTCCCAGCTACTCGGGAGACTGAGGCAAGAGAATCGCTTGAACCTGGGAGGCAGAGGTTGCAGTGAGCCAAGATCATACCATTGAACTCTAGCCTGGGTGACAAGAGTCAAACTCCGTCTTGCAAAAAAGAAAAAAGAAAGAAACTGAAAATAACAAGTGTTGGTGAGGTTCTGGAGAAATGGGAACCCTGGTGCACTATTGGTAGGAAAGTAAAATGGTACAGCTGCTGTGGAAAATAATATGGTGGTTCCTCAGGAAATTAAAAATAGAATTACCATATGATCAAGCAATTCCACTTCTGGGGGTATATACCCAAAACAATTAAAAAGCAGGATCTTGAGAGATAGCTGTGTTTGTTGACAGCATTATTATTATTATTATTGCTATTATTATTATTTGAGACAAAGTCTCGCCCTGTTGCCCAGGCTGGAGTGCAGTGGCATGATCTTGGCTCACTGTAACCTCCGCCTCCTGGGTTCAAGAGATTCTTGTGACTCATCCTCCTGAGTAGCTAAGACTACAGGCACACACAACCACACCCCGCTAATTTTTGTACTTTCAGTAGAGACAGGGCTTTGCCATGTTGGCCAGGCTGATCTCGAACTCCTGGCCTCAATTGATCCACCTGCCTCAGCCTCCCAAGGTGCTGGGATTACAGGTGTGAGCCACTGTGCCTGGTCAACAGCAGCATTATTCATCATCACTAAAACCTTACTCTAAGCAACCCAAGTGTCCATCAATGGATGAGTGAATAAGCAAAATTTCTTTTTCTTTTCTTTTTTTTTTTTTTTTGAGAGTGACTCTTGCTCTATTGCCCAGGCTGGAGTGCAATGGCGCGATCTCGGCTCACTGCAATCTCCACCTCCCAGGTTCAAGTGATTCTCCTGCCTCAGCCTCCCAAGTGGCTGGCATTACAGGTGCGCACCACCACGCCCAGCTAATTTTTGTATTTTTAGTAGAGACGGGGTTTCACCATGTTGGCCAGGCTGGTCTCGAACTCCTGACCTCAAATGATCTGCCCACCTCGGTCTCCCAAAGTGCTGGGATTATAGGCATGAGTCACTGCGCCCGGCTGCAAAATTTCATATATACATATATATGTATATAATTTTATATGTACATATTTTATATATACATATATATATAAAGGAATATTATGCAGCCTTAAAAGGAAATTCTGACGTATGCTACAACGTGAATAAACCTTGAGAACATTATGTTAAGTGAAATAGACCAGTCATAAAAAGAAAAATACTATATGTATTCCATTTATATGAGGTACTTAGAGTTGCCAAAATTAGAGACAGAAAGTAGATTGGTGGTTGCCAGGGGCTGGGGTGAAGCAGAAATGGGGAGCTATTCTTTTTTTTTTTTTTAAACGAAGTCTCACTCTGTCGTCCAAGCTGGAGTGCAGTGGCGCAGTCTCAGCTCACCACAACCCCTGCCTCCCAAGTCCAAGCAATACTTCTGCCTGAGCCTCCTAAGTAGCTGAGATCACAGGTGCATGCCACCACACCTGGCTAGTTGTTTTTTTGTTGTTGTTGTTTTGTTTCACCATGTTGGCTAGGCTGCTCTCATACTCCTGACCTCAAGTGATCCACCTGCCTCAGCCTCCCAAAGTGTTAGAATTACACGCATGAGCCACCACACCCAGCCAGGAGTTATTCTTTAATGGGTATAGAGTTTTAGTATGTTTTGTTTGTTTGTTGAGACGGGATCTTGCACTCTCACCCAGACTGGAGTGCAGTGACTAGATCATAGCCCACTGTAACCTCAAACTACTGGGCTCAAGTGATCCTCCTGCCTCAGCCTCCCAAGTAGCTAGGACTATAGGTGTCTGCCATGATACCCAGCTAATTGTTTATTTTTTAGTAGGGACAGGGTCTCACTATGTTGCCCAGGCTGGCCTTGAATTCCTGGCCTCAAGTGATCCTCCTGACTTGATTTCCCAAAGTGCTGGGATTATAGGCATGAGCCACTGTGCCCAGCCTTAGAGTTTCAGTTGTATAAGATGAAAAGAGATGGATGGTAGTGATGGCTGCACAAGATTATGAATGTACGTAATACTATTGAACTGTACATTTTAAAAATGATTAAGATGGTAATTTTAGGCCGGGTGCGGTGCCTCATGCCTGTAATCCCAGCACTTTGGGAGTCTGAGGTGGGCAGATCACCCGAGGTTAGGAGTTTGAGATCAGCCTGACCAACATGAAGAAACCCCCTCTCTACTAAAAATACAGAATTAGCTGGGTGTGGTGGCGCATGCCTGAAATCCCAGCTACTCGGGAGGCTGAGGCAGGAGAATCGCTTCAACCCAGGAGGCGGAGGTTGTGGTGAGCCAAGATTGTGCCATTGCAATCCAGCCTGGGCAACAAGAACAAAACTCCATCTCAAAAAAAAAAAAGAAAGAAAGAAAAAAAAGGATGGTAATTTTATGTGTATTTTACCACAATAAAAAATTGAGGAAGAAAATAAGTAATTAGCTCTGAAATTACTAATAGCTAGTTATATATACAGTAAAGTTCACTACAAATATTAGAAAGAAACCTATGCAGTGAGCTATGATTGTTCCACTACACTCCAGCCTGGGCAGCAGCGTGAGACCCTGTCTCTAAAAAATAAAAATAAATAAATAAAATAAAATAGAATGAAGTTTATGGATTACAGCACAGTTCTTACCAAGTTAAAATCTTACATTGATTTCCTTATGTGCTGGTTAGCTTTGCTGTTTCACAGTCATACCTTGAATTCTCAAGCCCAGTAAAACTGCAAATCTTTGTTACTGATTTTGATAGAAGTACAGCACAGCTGTGAATGAAAACTATGTAAATCCACCAGTACCTCCAAAAATAATTAAAACTCAGCTGGGCGCAGTGCCTCATGCCTGTAATCCCAGCACTTTGGGAGGCCAAGGTGGGTGGATCACTTGATTCCAGGAGTTCGAGACCAGCCTGGCCAACATGGTGAAACACTGTCTACACAAAAAAACAAAAATGGCTGGGCACGGTTGCTCACACCTGTAATCCTAGCACTTTGGGAGGCCGAGGCAGGCAGATCACAAGGTCTGGAGTTTGAGACCAGCCTGACCAACTTGGTAAAACCCCATCTCTACTAAAAATACAAAAATTAGCCAGGCGTGGTGGTGCGCACCCGTCATCCCAGCTACTCAGGAGGCTGAGGCAGGAGAATCTCTTGAACCCGGAAGGCGGAGGTTGCAGTGAGCCGAGATTGCACCACTGCAACTCCAGCCTGGGCAACAGAGTGAGACTCTGTCTCAAAAAAAAAATTAGCTGGGCATGGTTGTGTGTGCCTGTAATCCCAGCTACTCAAGAGGCTGAGGCATGAGAATTGCTTGAACCCAGGAGGCAGAGGCTGCAGTGAGCCGAGATCGTGCACTGCACTCCAGCTTGGGCAACACAGCGAGACCCTGTCTCTAAATAAATAAATAAAAATAATTAAAAATAATTCAACTGATAGAGGGCAATATATTTATTATTCTTATCAGTGTAGATCTAATTAGTTCCTCAAAATTGCTAACCATAGATGATACTTCAAAGTTTCCCTTCCTTGAATTCTTAAAGTTGGGAAACTAAATATCCTAAAGTCTACAAAACAAGGAAGTGAATTATAATGATAATGTGGTTGCAAATAATGTGAAATAAGCAAATTACTACAAAAAGATCTTGTTTAGTTCATGAACTGCTGGAATTCTTGGATGAGCAAATTGAAACCTCTGGGTACATTTTAAGGATAATAAGGTTTTAGAAAAAACAATCCTTTGATCAATAATTAGAATTTTCCTGTTTAGTCCATAAACTAAATTCAGTGGAATCTAAAAAGGAATGGCTAGAAGTACAAAGGATTTGGAGTATTATACTAAAGAAAATGTTATAAAAAACTGTTTTCCTACTTGTTCCCCTAAATCCAGGCATTGGATCCGGTAGATGTACTGGTTCTGTTTTCTCTTAGATGGCAGCCACACTTGTGCTATTCCAATCTTCTCTGTCTTCTCTGCACTCAATTCCAAAAAAAATCGGGAGGGTTCCAAGATCCATGGACGAGGACCCCCTTCAAATACCATTTCCTTCACAGACTGCCATGTCACCAATGCCACTTCCACAGGATTTAGAGCCTGAAGATATTTAAAGAAATTAATCCCTGACTGGTTAGGGAATTCAATCATTTTCTAAAGTGAAACACTAGTTATCTGAATATGCTGCAAATGACGTTAAACTTAATTCCCAAATTAGGAGATACGTATGCCATGCCTCTCACTTGGAATGCTTCTCAACCTAATCTGGATCCTACCTATCATTTGAATCTAACTATTAGGTTACTTTATCCATTAATTTGTGTCCAGTCATTCTAGACCATACCACTTCTGCATCCTCTAAGCTCTTACAGTATTTATCTGTACCATTCATTTGCACACTGTTCATTTCCTAATGTTATTATATGTATGTCAAATGCTATGTATAAATCTAATAATTTTTGTTGTTTTCTCTAGTTATATAAACTCCTTAAGAGGAGTCAGTATCTTACACCTAATTTGTTTTCGTATTTCTCTTCTTCACTGGGATTTAGTACAATGTTGTGCACAGAAAAGGTATTTATAAATAACTGCATAAGCATTTTTTTCAGGCTAGAGAATGAAAGATAAGATGCATAAGCATTTTAAACTGATATTTTACTAAAGTATCAAAGAACTTCTGCCCTAAAAATATAAAAATAATACATATATATACTTCACCATATTTCTTCAAGAACTTTATAAGCTAAGAAGTAGACAAGATAGGTATTACTCAATTCAGTATAGAGGAGTTGTATCCCATTTATAGATAAGGAAACTGGCATTAGGGGAATGAAGTATTCTCAAATTGTAGGTTATTTTTGTATGGCACACAATGTCCACAATAGTGACTAATTTTTTAAATTATACTTTAAGTTCTGGGATACAAGTACAGAATGTACAGGTTTGTTACATAGGTATACATGTGCCATGGTGGTTTGCTGCACTCATCAACCCGTCATCTACATTAGGTATTTCTCATAATACAATCCCTCCCCAACTCCCCCACCCCCCAACAGGCCCTGGTGTGTGATGTTCCTCTTCCTGTGTCCATGTGTTCTCATTGTTCAACTCCCACTACAGTTCTTAAAACGAAGTAGAGAGTTTTAAAACTAAGTAGAGAGTTGAAGCAATTATTCTAAAAATGTAAGCAAACTATGCTTTTTTTCTGGAACTGTTCAGTCATATTTATTATTGAGTACTATTAAAACTGAACATTCCTATCCCTGATGGTAGTATTCTCTTAAATAATGTGTATATAATTCAATAAATATTCACTTATGAGGATACAGTAATAGAAATTCAAATAAAGTCTTGTCTCATAGGGAAGCCCACAATCTGGCAGAGATAGACTTAGAGTAGGTAAAGAGTACAATAAGTGTTACAAAAAGACATGTGGCCAGGTGCAGTAGCTCACACCTGTAATCCCAGCACTTTGGGAGGCTGAGGTGGGTGGATCACTTAAGGTCAGGAGTTTGAGACCAGCCTGGCCAACATGGTGAAATCCTGTCTCTACTAAAAATACAAAATTAGCCGAGCATGGTGGTGCACGCTTGTAATCCCAGCTATTTGGGAGGTTGAGGCAGGAGAATCACTTGGAGGCAGAGGTTGCAGTGAGCCAAGATCACACCATTGCACCCCAGCCTGGGCAACAAGATCAAAACTTGGTCTCAGAAAAAAAAAAAAAAAGACATGTTACAGAGTACCATACACGTTTTTGGCCAGGCGTGGTGGCTCATTCCTGTAATGCCAGCAGTTTGGGAGGCCAAGGCAGGTGGATCACTTGAGCCCAGGAGTTCGAGACCAGACTGGCCATCATGGCAAAACTCCGTATCTACTAAAAATACAAAAATTAGCTGGGCATCATGGTGCGCACCTGTAATTCCACCCACTCTGGAGGCTGAGGCACAAGAATCGCTTGAACCGGGGGGGGTGACGGTTGCCAAGATTGCGCCACTGCATTCCAGCCAGGGTGACAGAGTGAGACTCTGTCTCAAAAAAAAAAAAAAAAGAAGGCCGGGTGCGGTGGCTCAAGCCTGTAATCCCAGCACTTTGGGAGGCCGAGACGGGTGGATCATGAGGTCAGGAGATCGAGACCATCCTGGCTAACACGGTGAAACCCCGTCTCTACTAAAAAATACAAAATAAAAACTAGCCGGGTGAGGTGGCGGGCGCCTGTAGTCCCAGCTACTCGGGAGGCTGAGGCAGGAGAATGGCATAAACCCGGGAGGCGGAGCTTGCAGTGAGCTGAGATGCAGCCACTGCACTCCAGCCCGGGCGACAGAGCGAGACTCCGTCTCAAAAAAAAAAAAAAGAAAAAAAATGTTTTTGACAGAAGAAATGAATAGAAAAAATAAACACAGAGGTCTCATAGATGGCCTTTCTGGAAAAGCAAAACCGAAATGATTCCTTTTTCTTAGATGTATAGTCCAAAACTAACCAGACGAACTGAATTGAGCTGATAATGCAAAAGGACAAATTGAGAACTGTACCATGTACTGAAACACAGTAATGATAACAAGGGTAGAACACACATATTTTTAAACAATTTTTTTTTTCATCAGGCAAGGGGAAAGACACATGACTAACATACTAGGTAAAAAAGAAAATCATCATCTTACTTCCTTTCCTTTAAGGACAACTTTCATTCAGGGGAGATCTATTTGTGGACACTCAATACATATAAAATAAGCCTAAGGACAATGATAAAACTAAGAAAAAACCTAATGGAACTTTACAGTGAGGCACAGCCAAGCACTTGCATTTAGTGAGGCAAGAAGGAGGACTCACCCACCAAGGGAACTAGTGAAACATACTTGAACCTATATTTAATATATATGCTACACAATGTACAATGAGGCCAACTTAAAATGGAGATTTGAATGAATAATTTATCTTTTTTCTTTTACTTTACTTTACTTCTTTCATTAGTGTTAACATTTTTCCCTGTGGATGCTCCTTATTCCAAGAGGCATTGAGTCGGGATTTGTCAGTATCTATCAGCAAGAACTTGTAGATACCAATTTTAGCTCCTGCTGGAATCCAATAGGATGTAGAAAGCATGCCAGTCTCTATCTACTTTTATTCTGAATTGTTGCAGGATCCTTGGGGTGTCGCTTTTCCGGCTGGAAACCTCTGTGGCTGGTGGCACTTTTGCCCAAGTTTTGTTTGGGCCCACAGGTCTTGTTCCATCCACTCGGCCTGGCAGGCTGTGCTTGGTTCATGCTACCAGCCTGGATCTCACACCTGCCAAGGGTGAGCCAGGCATGGAATGGCAACAGGTGTGTGAGTGAGTGAGCATGGGGTCCAGCCACTGCACACAGTCAGGCACACCAGTTGCTGTAGTGGGACAGGTAGCTCCAGGTGCTGGCATGGGCACTGGCTCTCTGCAAGCCTGTGGCTAGATCAGGTGCACTGCAAGCAGCTTCCACGATGCCACTGGGGAACACAGTGGTGCCTGGAAGCTTGGAGACTCCAGGAACCACAGGGCCCCAAAGTGGGAGTCACAGCCGTGGCTTGGGGAGCTCCCAGGTCTCGGCTCCCTGAAGAGTCGCAGTTCTTCTCTTCACCCACAACGTGATGAGCAAGGGGCATGTTTCAGCCCTGTTTGTGTTATAGCTCTTTCAGCCCTGCCATTGGGCAGGTCCCAAGTTCTTGTCCTGCATCCAGGAAGAATAAGGTACGCAGAACAAGTGGAGGGTGAGCAAGGTGAAGAAGAGCTTTACTGAGTAACAGAATAGCTCAGAGGAGGCCCTGGAGTGGGTAGTACCTCTCTGCTGCTGGTCATCCCAGTGTCTGCAACTCTCAGAAGAGAGGAGGCCCTGGAGTTGGTAGCTCCTCTCTGCAGCTGGTTGTCCAACATCTGCCCAGCTCTGGCTGAGCCTGGAGCTTTTATGGTCATCAAAGGGGAGGAAGTCTACACTGATTGGTCCATGGGCAGCCATGGGTGGGCCCAGAAAAGGCATCACAAGTTCCCACTCTGGTCTGCAGGACTGGCAGCCTGGACCCCAGCGTTCAGGCCCTGCCTGGTCTGAAGGTAGGGCCTTACCAGGGACTGTACCTTCTGCCCAGGAACCTGTCTGCCTCCTACTGCTGTTCATGGCACCCAGGCTGTAGGTGCCAAGGGGCACCTGCAGGCCAGTGCTGAGCTGCCCTCAGCTCTCCCTTGGCTTCCCTCCTACGCTTGTTGGTGCCCAAAGTCTGGAGGGGGCCAAGGCAGCAGGGGCCTGGCATGTCAAAATTGCCCCAAGCATGTGCTCATCTGGCCAGACTGTGACAGCACCCAGGATTGGCCCAACTTTGTTCTGAGATCACAGTTGGTGCTGACAGCAGGGAGAAGCCAGGCAGTGGGAGCACGCAGAAGGGGCCTTCCTGGGCCCCCAAGAGTACAAGGATGCCTGGGTCTGCAGCTGCCATTTGGGTGGCTGCAGTTGCATGGCAAGGAGGTGGTGGGGCGGGGGCAGGGGTGTATCTCCTGCCTGCTCAGTGGAGCAGGAGGCCTGGGTCCGCAGCCATGACTTGGGCAGCCAAAGCTGCACCCAGGGAGCTCCTGCCCCACCAACTCAGAAGGAGTAGGGCTCCCGGGGCTCCCACTTGGTGTCGGCTCCAAACGGCTCCATGGAGTGTGCAGCCCCAGCTGCATTTCCCTGCTGCAGATGGCATGAGGGCAGCAGCTGCTCCAGACAGGCTGCCGCTGCCATCAGAACCACTTATCATACTATCTCCATTATAATGAACCAGTCCTTAGGGCTCAATATAACGGCTTCTGTGCTTAAAATCCATAAGTAGATAGGGTAAAAGATGATTGACTTCCTTCCATAGGACAGAAATTATCTTTCAGAGTTCTTCAAAAGGGAGTATGCTAATATACTAATTTTGGTATTTACAGAGATATATGTTCATATAAAAATTCAGATAACAACTTAAGATGAGCGTACTTTATGAACTTTTCTGTACATATTTTATACCTCAGCAAAAAAGAAGAAAGGGAAATATCTAAAACTTTCTGATACAACTTAAAGATATTCCTGTGAGGGAGTAAACTCCCTGGAGACTTAGGTTTGAGGAGACAGCTGCAGATCTAAAAACAAAAGAGTGGCAAGTAAAGAGAACATAAATGTCATTGATCCTTAGTAGAGACCACAGATAACTAGCAAGCCCATAAGCGGACATAGTTGAGTCCATTAAAAGAAATGCCAGTTCCTTACCATGAAATATCTTACCTTTAGGGGTTCATAAGCAGCAAATGTAGCACTGCTCTCCAAGTACTTGTCACATTCACTCACACTTACTGTTACCAGAGTATGGCCGAGAGATTTAGCTGCGATATGTGTACTGGAACAATGCATTGGTCCAGGTCTTTGAATACCTGTGAATCAAAAACCATGATTTTGGCAGGGCGTGGTGGCTCAGGCTTGTAATCCCAGCACTTTGGGAGGCCGAGGCAAGCAGATTGCTTGAGCTCAGAAGTTTAAGACCAGCCTGAAACACATGGTGAAACCCCATCTCTACAAAATATTTAAAAAATTAGCCAGGCACGGTGGTGTGCACCTGTAGTCCCAGTTACCCAGGAGGCTAAGGTAGGAGGATCGCTTGAGCCCAGGAGGTTGAGGCTGCAGTGAGTCGTGATTGTACCACTACACTCCAGCCTGGGCCACAGAGTAACACCTTACCTAAAAAAACAAAACAAAACAAATATGATTTCAGTGGGGTAACAAGCAGTTAGTTTTCTTTTTTTCTTTTTAAGATGGAGTCTCACTCTTGTTGCTCAGGCTGGAGTGCAATGGCACAATCTCAGTTCACTGCAACCTCTGCCTCCCAGCTTCAAGCGATTCTCTTGCCTCAGCCTCCTAAGTAGCTGGGATTACAGGCGCCCACCACCATGCCTGGTTAATTTTTTGTATTTTTAGTAGAGACGGGGTTTCACTGTGTTGGCCAGGCTGGTCTCAAACTCCTGACCTTGTGATCCACCCACCTCAGCCTCCCAAAATGCTGGGATTACAGGCATGAGCCACCGCACCCAGCCACGACCGGTTAGTTTTAAAGGAAATTAAGCTACAAAAATATAAGAATTTTAATACATTAAAAATACCATCTTGGGCCAGGCACGGTGGCTCACGCCTGTAATACCAGCACTTTGGAAGGCCAAGGCGGGTGGATTACCTGAGCTTAGGAGTCCGAGACCAGCCTGACCAACATGGAGAAACCCCATCTCTACTAAAAATACAAAATTAGCCGGGCGTGGTGGCGCATGCCTGTAATCCCAGCTACTCGGGAAGTTGAGGCAGGGAGAATTGCTTGAACCCTGGAGGCAGAGGTTGCAGTGAGCCAAAACATGCCATTGCACTCCAGCCTGGGTGACAGAGTAAGACTGTTAAAAACAAACAAACATACAAACAAACAAAACCCATCTTGATCTCTTACATTATCAATTAGGCCCTTTATATCAAGTTGATATCTGTTCTTTCTATTGAGAGACATATATAAGACACAGTTGTATGTACAGTGGGAATATATATATACGAGCAAAGATCCTGACCTGAAGCATTTATAGTTTCAAGGGGAAAGTGAAAATGTAAATAAGTCACTTAAAACATTAATAGAAAGTGATAAGTATTATAGAAGTCTAGAAAATAGAAAGATTATTTCAAGCTGGAGAGATCGAGGAAAGTTGAAAGTATCTCAGGCTGAGAAAACAGAATGAACAAAGAAATACAAATGAGATATAAATGAGAATATGACAGATATATATGAGAGAATTTAAAGTAGTTGATTTAGCCAGGCATGGTGGCTCACGCCTGTAATCCCAGCACTTTGGGAGGCTAAGATGGGCAGATCACTTGAGGTCAGGAGTTCGAGACCAGCCTGGCCAACATGGTGAAACCCTGTCTGTACTAAACATTCAAAAATTAGCCAGGTGTGCTGGCACGTGCATATAGTCCCAGCTACTCAGGAGGCTGAGGGACAAGAATCACTTGAACCTTGGAGGTGGACGTTGCAGTGAGCCGAGATTGCACTACTGCACTCCAGCCTGAGTGACAGACTGAGATTCATCTCAAAAAACAAAACAAAACAAAACAAAAAATAAATAAAAATAAATACATAACGTAGTTGATTTAGCTAGAACCATATATGAAGCAAAAGTATGAAATCATGAAAACTAGGTTGGGTTATATTGTAGAGGGGTCTTGAATATCAAACTAAAAGGATTTTGACTCCATTCCACTGACAATGAGAAGTCTCTAAAAATTTTTGAGCAGAAAAAGAAAGACCAAAGTTGAGTTCATAAAGATCCATCTGATAGCCATGATGATCAGAGGTAAGAATAGTCAGGAGGATTTTGTTGTCCTACATTGGAAATAAGGGGCTAAAAATTAAAATACTCTGAGAAGAGGGGAAAGATCAGTTGAACCCGGGAGTGAGGGTATGTACATATGTATGCATGTAGTATAATGAACAAGGGCAAAGCAAAAGTCCAATTTGATACCAAGCTTACAGATGTAAGAATTAAACAGTTAAGGTATAAAAATTATTCAGAACAGAGCTTGGCAAAGAATAAATGCTGAGCAAATCTTAGATGCTACTACTGTCATTATATTGATGAAAAAACAATGGGGATCAGGATCAAATATGAAGTTCAATAGCAGGAAAGGATGTTGACCTTTATTCATATTTTCTGTTTTACTAGAGATATTTTATCCTTTTTCAATAAATTGAATGTATGCATATATTAAATGGCTCTACATTCCTCTTAGAAAGACATATGATATATATATTAGGGAAAGAAAGAAGAAAAGACCTTGAGGCTAGAAATGGAAAACCTTACTGTGAACTAAAATCTGGTATTGACCTTGTACTTGTAATCCAAGCTACCTGGGAGGCTGAGAGAGCAGCGTAGCTTGGGCCCAGGAGTTCAAGGTTACAATGTTCTATGATTGCACCACTGCACTCCAGCCTGGGTGACACGGTGAGAACCTGTCTCTAATAATAATAATAATAATAATAATAATAATAAATTGATAAATAAAAACTGGCCAGGCGCAGTGGCTCATGCCTGTAATCCCAGCACTTTGGGACGCCAAGGTGGGCAGATCACCTGAGGTCAGGAGTTCAAGACCAGCCTGGCCAACATAGTGAAACCCCATATTCACTAAAAATACAAAAATTAGCCGGGCATGGTGGTGGGTGTCTGTAATCCCAGGTACTTGGGAGGCTGAGGCAGGAAAATCACTTGAACCTGGGAGGTGGAGGTTGCAGTGAGCCGAGATCATGCCACTGTATTCCAGCCTAGGTAACAAAAGCGAGACACTGTCTCAAAAAACAAAAACAAAAAAACAAAAAACTGACATTGTCCAGCCACGATGTTGTTCAATTTCTGTGCCTGTGTTTCTACATCTGTAAAATGAGGAGTATAACACTTACTACGAGGCATTTGACAAAATAAAGTATTATAAAGGAAAGTAATATGTGAATTTTTTCTACAATTGGTAGTTTCTGAATTGTTGATTGCTTCCTTAAAGACAAAGAAAGTAATCTGTCACAGTGGCAGAGTTAAAGATAAATAAATAAAGAGAAAGGGAGGAGAAGATTTAAAAAGGCTACTTTTACCTTCTTTGAGAAGAGTAAAGACTCCTTGTTTATCCATGTTCAGATCCAAGGATAAATGAGAGCAGTCTGTGAATGCCATGGCTTCTTTGGTCTCTTTATTTATGTGATACATTGCAATGGGGATTTCTATAATCTGGCCAATCTCCACATCAGCATGAAATGGTAACAGTTCCATTTTGTTCAGTTTCAGGACATGTATCTGGAGGGGAAAAATTCATCTTTCAAGAAAGTTATGTTAAAAAAGTCTTAGGAGGAGGAGAAGCAAGATGGCCAAATACAACCCTCAAGTCCCCTCTGCAGGAACACCAAATTGAATGACTATCCATACAAGAAAGCACCTTCATAAGAATCAAAAATCAGGTAAGCAATCACAGTACCTGGTTTTAACATCATATCAAGGAAAGAGTCACTGAAGAGGGAAGAAAAGAGTCTAGAATTGCCAACATCACTCTCTTCCATTCCCAGGCAGTGGCAGCAGCCACGTGGTGCAGAGAGAATCTGTGCACCTGGGGAGTGCAGTGATTGTGGGACTCTGCATTCCACAATCACTGCACTCCCCCAGGTGCACAGATTTGGAACTCAGTGCTGCCTACTACAGTGGAAAGCCACACAGGGCAGAATTCAGTCAGTGCCTGTGGAAGAAGCATTTAGACCAGCGCTAGCCAAAGGGAATGAATTGCCCATCACAGTGGTTTGAACCTGAGTTCCAGCTAGCCCCGACACTGTGGGCTAAAGCACTCTGGGATCCTAAATAAACTCGAAAGGCAGTTTAGGCCACAAAGACTGCAATTCATGGACAAGTTCTGGTGCTGTGCTAGGCTTGAAACCGGTGGACCTGGGATGCATATGACCTAGTGAGACACCTACTGGGGTGGCCAAGAGAGTGCTTGTACTACTCCTCCCCACATACCAGGCAGCACAGCTCATAAATCTGGGAGGTTACCATTGTAATGGTATCATAACTCATACCATTACCCAGGTATGGTGGTGCATGCCTGTACTCCCAGCTACTCGGGAGGCTGAGGCAGGGGAATGAATCACTTGAACCAGGAGGCGGAGGTTGCAGTGAGCTGAGATCATGCCACTGCATTCCAGCCTGGGTGACAGAGTGAGACTACATTCCAGAAAAATAAATAAATAAATAAATAAATAAATAAATAAATAGAGAAGGGCTTTATCTTGCAGGTTGGGTGCCAGCTTGGTCTCAGTAGAATAGAGCATCAGGTAGATTTCTAAGGTTGCTGACTCCAGGCCCTGGCTCCTGGATAGAATTTCTGGACCTGCCCCGGGCTGGTGAGGAGCTTCCCACCCTGAAAGGAAGGCCACAAGCCTGGCTGAATTTGCTACCCACTAACTGTACAGTCCTTGGGCCTTGAGTGAACACTGGCAGTAACCAGGCAGTGGTCACTGAAGGACTTGGGCAGGACCCAGTGCTGTGCTAGCTTTGGGTCTGACCCAGTGCAATCCTAGTGGTGGTGGCCACAGAGGGGCTTGTGTAACCCCACCCCCACCTCCACACAGCTTAGCAAGGAGAGGGAGAGACTATTTGGGCAAAAGAAAGAGAAGGAACAAGAGTCTGCCTGGTAATCCAGGGAATTCTCCCAGATCTTACCCAAGACCACCAAAGCAGTACCTCCACAAGTCTGCAAGAGTCACCGCGTTACTGGGCTTGGGGTGTCCCCCGATGGAGATATGTACTGCATGACCAGAGACTTAGATCACAACACTCAATTCTCTTTGAATACTTGGAAAGCCTTCCCAAGAAGGATGGGTACAAAGAAGTACATTGTTCAAAGACTACAATTAATACCTAACTTTTCAATGCCTAGACATCAGTGAACAACCACAAAGATCAAGACCATACAGGAAAACATGCCCTCACCAAATGAACTAAATAAGGCACCAGTGACCAATCCTGGAGTGACAGAGCTATATGACCTTACAGACAAAGAGTTCAAAACAGCTGTTTTGCAGAAGTTCAATGAAATTCAAGAGAAGGATTTCAGAATCCTATCAGCCAAATATAACAAAGATATTGAAATAATTTTAAAAAGCAGAAATCCTGGAGCTGAAAAATTCAATTAACATACTAAAGAATGCATCACAGTCTCTCAACAGCAGAACTGATGAAGCAAAAGAAAGAATCAGTGAGCTTAAGGACAGGTTATTTGAAAATATAGTCTCGGCGCCTGTAGTCCCAGCTACTCGGGAGGCGGAGGCAGGAGAATGGCATGAGCCCAGGAGGCGGAGCTTGCAGTGAGCCTAGATCCGGCCACTGCACTCCAGCCTGGGCGACAGAGCGAGACTCTGTCTCAAAAAAAAAAAAAAAGAAAAGAAAATATAGTCATGGTCCAAATGCAATGGCTCATACTTGTAATCTCAGCACTTTGGGAGGCCAAGGTGGGTGGCTTACTTGAGGCCAGGAGTTTGAGACCAGCCTGGCCAACACAGTGAAAGCCTGTCTCTACTAAAAATAGAAAGAATAAGCTGGGCATGGTGGCGCACGCAGCTACTCTGGAGGCTGAGGTGTGAAAATCGCTTGAACCTAGGAGGTGGAGGTTGCTGTGAGCAGAGATCATGCCACTGCACTCCAGCCTGGGTGACAGAGTGAGATGTTGCCTCAAAAAAATAGAAAAGAAAGAAAATACAGTTAGGGGAGAATAAAGAAAAAATAATAGAAAAGAATGAAGATCTAGAAAATGGCCACAAAATGGCAAATCTAAGAGCTACTGGCCTCAAAGAGGAGGTAAAGAGAGAGATTTAAACTACTGATACCTTGAGTAGAAAGACTAAAAGAACCTATAAAAAGGAATAACTACAACAGCTATTCAAGACATAGACAGTATAAGATATAAATAGAAACAACACAAAATTAAAAAGCAAGGGAATGAAATTAAAATGTAGAACTTTTTGTTTTTGTTTCTGCTTTGAGATGGAATCTTGCTCTGTCACTCAAGCTGGAGTGCAGTGGTGTAATCTCAGCTCACTGCAACCTCCACCTCCCAGGTTCAAGCAATTCTGCCTCAGCCTCATGAGTAGCTGGGATCACAGGCATGCACCACCATGCCCGGCTATTTTTTATATTTTTAGTAGAGACAGGGTTTCACCATGTTGGCCAGGCTGGTCTCAAACTCCTGACCTTAGGTGACCTAAGGTCATCCATCCACCTTGGCATCCCAAAGTGCTGGGATTACAGGCATGAGCCACTGCACCCAGCCTAGAGTTTTGATTAGTTTTCTCTTTGTTAATTTGTTAGTTTGTTTATGCAATCAGTGTTAAGACATCATCAGTTTAAAATAATGAGTTATAAGATTTTATTTGCAAGCCTTATGGTAACCTGACAAAAATAAAACACAAGAAATTAAAACATACCACCGGAGAAAATCACCTTCACAAAAAGGAAGGCAGGAAGGAAGGACAGAAGGAAGAGAAGACCACAAAACAACCAGAAAACAAATTAAAAATGGCAGGAGTAAGTTCTTATTTATCAATAATAACGTTGAATGTAAATGGACTAAACTCTCCAATCAAAAAAGACAGAGTGACTGAATAGATTTTTTTTTAAAAGGCTGAGTGCAGTGGCTCATGCCTATAATCCCAGCACTTTGGGAGGCCAAGGCGGGTGGATCCCCTGAGGTTGGGATTTCAAGACCAGCCTGACCAACATGGAGAAACCTTGTCTCTACTAAAAATACAAAATTAGCTGGGCATGGTAGCACATGCCTGTAATCCCAGCTACTCGGGAGGCTGAAGCAGGAGAATTGCTTGAACCTGGGAGGCAGAGGTTGCGGTGAGCCGAGATCACACCATTGCACTCCAGCCTGGGCAACAAGAGTGAAACTGCATCTCAAAAACAAAAACAAAAACAAAAACCCAATGTGTTTTCTACAAGAAACACACTTCCCCTGTAAAGACACACGTAGACTGAAAATAAAGAGATGGAAAAAGATTCCATGCCAATGGAAACCAAAAAAGAGCAAGAATAGCTATCCTTATATCAGACAAAATAGATTTCAGGACAAACTATAAAAAGAGAAAAAAGAAGGCCATTATGTAATGATAAAGGGGTCAATTCAGCAAGAGGATATAACATTTATAAATATATATACACCCAATACTGGAGGACCCAGATGTATAAGGCAAATATTAGAGCTTAAGAGAGCAATAGACCCCACTACATTAATAGCGAGAGACTTCAACACCTTACTTGCAGCATTGAACAGGTTTTCCAGACAAATAATCAACAAAGAAACATCAAACTTACTCTACAATGTAGACCAAAAGGATCTAATAGATATTTACAGAACTTTTCATTCAATGGCTGCAGAATACACATTCATCTCCTCAGCAAGAATGAGTATTCTTGATCATATTCAAGAATAGACTACGTTAGACCACAAAACAATTCTTCAAAAATTCAAAAAAATTGAAACTATGTCAAATATCCTCTCTGACTTAGTGGACTAAAACTAGAAATCAGTAACAAGAGGAATTTTGGAAACTATACAAACACATGGAAATTAAACAACTTGCTCCTGAATGACTAGCATATCAATGAAGAAATTAAGGAGATTTTAAAATTTCTTTAAAAAAATGAAAATGAAAACACAACATAACAAAACCTATGAAATACAGTGAAAGCAGTACTAAGAGGAAAGTTTATAGTAATGAATGCCTACATCAAAAAAGTAAAGGCTGGGCACGGTAGCTCACACCTGTAATCCCTGCACCTTGGGAGGCCGAGGCAGGTGGATCACCTGAGGTCAGGAGTTTCAGACCAGCCTGGCCAACGTGATGAAACCCTGTCTCTAACAAAAATACAAAAAATTAGCAGGGCGTGGAAGCGCGCACCTGTAATCCCAGCTACTCAGGAGGCTGAGGCAGGAGAATCACTTGAACCCAGGAGGCAGAGGTTGCAATGAGCTGAGATCACACCACTGTACTCCAGCCTGGGAAACAAGCAAAACTCTGTCTCAAAAAAAAAAAAAAAAAAGGCTGGGCGCGGTGGCTCAAGCCTGTAATCCCAGCACTTTGGGAGGCCGAGGCGGGTGGATCACGAGGTCAGTTGCTAGGCCGGAGTGCTGTGGTGCAATCTCAGCTCACTGCAACCTCCGCCCCCTGGGTTCAAGCAATTCTGCCTCAGCCTCCTGAGTAGCTGGGATTACAGGTGCGCGCCACCATGCCTGGCTAATTTTTGTA